CAACAAACAGCCAGAATTCGAGCCAGCCAGAGAGCCCCAGAATGGAAATTCCTTGGTACCCTCAAACTGTGCCTAGTGTATATGTGACCCATCCCGGCCTAGTCCTTCAGACATGTACATCACCTCTGGCTTTTGACAGATTCATATAAAGTGCCCCTCAAATCTAAAATACTTCCAACAATACTGTTTAAATAACCAGGGCAGTGCTGTTGCCACAGCTGACAAATGTCCTATATCCATTTAAATATATATGGTCTGCCAGTACAGAATTGTACACACACGTAAATAACACATCCCTCCTCCTGATTTACCATGAACATTGCAGATGCTCATAAAAAATTCACAGATGTTGCCCAGGCAAGAAATCAATGTACTCTTTTAAAAGTATGGGCTTTTTCAGCCATAGATACTCCCAAAGGTAAAAATCTCCAGTGCTTGCATGCCACATGAGACTCGGAGGCTGCCTCTCTGACTCCAAACCACAACTACTTAAAGTTCTAGAGAACAGAGGTTCCTTCCTGTCCCCTCCCAATTCCCGGTCCCCAGCAACCGAGTGTAAAATAACACCTAGCTGGTTAATTGCTTGTGGCCATGGCTCTCCATGGTCAGTTCAGAATTCAGCTCTTTCATCAAGCCCTTCACAGTAGTGGCTGCTTCCATATACCTCGTGTGAGGCTGCCATAACATGTAATCTCAGACATCTTAATAAACTGTAAACAACCTGTCCTGCACAATCACCAGCTGGCTAGAGAATAGCCAGGGTGGGTCAGTGGAGGGAACCTGCCAACCTGTGTGACACTTTGGCTGGGGCACACATGCTCGGATAGAGGCACTCTCCAACACTCAGCTTTATCCCTTTCATCTCTCTGGGGCTCCCTGACCTCTCATCGGTGTGATGATGAAAGGTGCAGCTCTGCTTGGGCCTGCAGCACTACTGCGTTACTGTGCCCTGTGCAGCTGGCCGTGCCCATGCTTCCGCCCCCGCCTGCCCAAGCAGGGAGCAAATAAATGTATTATGACTACACTACCATGCTGATAGGCCAGAAATTTAGTGGCTGCAATGGGGGGTGGGGGGGAAATCCAGATGCCAATTGGTTCAGGAATTCTCTCTAATCTTTTAGCAGCAGCCCCTAGGGAGGTTTTAGTTTACAAGCTGCAGTCTGTTCTTTGGTCATTGTTCCTCCTGAGCCCTGGGCTGGCTCTGCTGCCCATCCAATTGAAGGGCTTCGTCGCTAGTAAAGGGGAAAAAAAAAAAAAAACACCAAACAAACCAAAAAACACCAAGGAGGGGGAGCTGCAAAGAGCTGAGCTAGAACACTTGCACAGCTCACAGCCCTACGTGGCACTTTGAGCACATCAGAACCACCCACAGATTAACCCTGGCAAGCCCCCTGAGGTGGGTCTCTTTTACTAGTCCTTGTTCATTGCTGCTCCTCAGTGGCAGGGAAGGGTGGCAGAAGGACCAAGCCATTTGTCTCCTTGGAAAGACGGCAAAATGGCAATGGAAAATCAGGGGAGAAGAGCTTCTGAGTGTCCAGCCAGTAAGGACACAGGTAGTCCCATGGGTACAGTAATCCTTTAAGTCAAACAGACACATTTCAGTTGCTGCTTCTCTGTCCAGCCCTCTGTTTCCCTAGCAACATTTGAGAATTAGATTCATGAGACAGGATCTGAATTCATTTTCTTACAATTAAAATAGCTTTTCTAGGGGTGTTTTAGCTATAATTCAGCAACAAACTATACTGTCTATATGGGGTTAACAGATTGAATACACTTCTGGACACAGGCTTACTAAAACGTTTCAGGACGCTTGTGTGAGAAAGCAGAGGGCCGTTCTCTATATGCTCTGTTACTAGCTGGCAAACTGAAGAAGACAATGGGAAAGAAAAAGTGGAATCTTCACTGCCAACACTGAATACAGCTCCCAACAGTTCCCTTTTGTTCTTCACAGGAACAAACAAAAGCTGATGAAAACAATCCCAGCACACTCTGAATCTCTAACAAAGATCAATGGTTAGAAAGAGTGAAAAAACTCTGTTCTGCACTGCCATAAGGCAGATCCTACACAGATGATCAAACTACCATCTGTGTAGTCCCTGCTTCTCTGCGGCATACCCTATTATAGCATGCAAGAGACCTGAACTTGAACACCTTGTTTTTCAGGCTGTAGTGCATTGTTGAGCTCTGCAAGGAACACTGCTTCAGTAAGTACAGGAATGTACACTAATACTTCAGCAAAGAATAGTCTTTGCAGACTAAGTGAGTCTTTGTTCCCTGGTCTTTGGGCTGGATGGTTTCTAGCTATCTCGCTGCACTTACAAAAAGCAGTAGCACATCCCCATTACCACTGTGTGAACTGAGATATGCTGCTTTGTGCTTCACCCTGCCATAACCAACAGTCATCAACACACAGTAAACAAGATGGACTGTGTTCAAAAGTAATATATGATACGAAAGACAAACATACCTGTCCACTCCTCTGGCAACATCTGTTCTGTGATGTCTCACGTCTCTCTGTTGCAGCTACCAAATTTCCATTCTCTCAGTTCGCGGATCCTTTTCTTTCTACACTGAACCTTTCCTTATCTATCACTAGAGTGTCCTCATCAGAGCAGAAATACAGGAGGTCTCCAGGCTCAGACTACGTTGTAAATTAAATCACTACAGCCATCCCATGAGCGGAGGATCCACTGCAATGCCTCATGAGGCAGATGTCTTCAGTATGGTCTGGGGTCCCATGCAGGGCACGTTCAGTACCACAGGGTGAGCAGGATACAGCTCTAGAACCACCTCTGTTGTGCAGAAAAGGTTTCTTACCCACTACAAGTGTTTCTAGCGGCATGCAAAACATCAACTCTATAGTGCTGGGTTGTCTTCTCTTAATAAGCGATTGAAAGGCAATGAAATCAATCAAGAAAATACAGTTTTCAATACATATGGAGCCAACAGTGTGATATCTACACACTTGCAAAACTATACTGATTTGTGGTAGCGCAAAATAATAGGTGGTTGTATGGGCTGGCTATAACCTACATTAATTGTGGTTTAGAGTAACAGCAGCAATTTGGGTACAGTACAAGGAGGAAAACATGCCTTCTAATTCTTTAAAAATAACATCTACTATATATATATATTTTTTTTACATTCAAAATCACTAGAATATATTGGCCAAAAACTGTATAAAATTAGTAACATGCATGCTATGTTGTTTACTAAAAGAACTCCTGGACTTTCAGGTCTCTGCTTTACCAAAATTTTCTTTTTTATTCAGGGAAGTCATTTAAGTCCTGGTTCATTTTTGATGCAACTCCAGAAGTGACAGATGGAAGCAACTAAGCACAGTGTCTTTCGTCCTCTCTTGAAGAGAGGCTTCAGATACCCCATGCAAATGCCAGATCCTTTATCATGCAACAAGTCAACATACAAGAGATGAAACAGTCTTAGAAATAAATTCAGATATATCAACAAGAAGTACAGCAAACTAAAATTGCTGATTAATGGTTGTCATTCTCTTACTTCTCTAAATGACAGTAATGCCTTTAAGATGTCACTTATGCCCATAATTTCAGAAAGAATATGGTACAGTACTTTGGATGTCACTGTGTTTCCAGGGAAGACTAATTTCAAAGATTACAGACCTCAGTTACTCCGCTGCTTTTAGAACATCCTTATCTAGGGCTAGGTTGCATAGGGAAGATGGCAGAGGTGGTCTGAAGGCATTCAACTAAGCAGCTGGGCCTTTTCCAGCACTGAGATATAATTTCATGGAAAATACACTTCAGGATAAGGACCTTTATATCTAGTACAGAATAGAGGTTTCTTACAGCTGTTGTTTGTGGCAAAAAACCCCATGCATTATTGATTTCCCACATCCTGCAGACTTAGTGAACAGCTTTCAGGCAGAAACTCTGTCCCCCGTGGTATATGCTGGCACTGTTGAATTATACCAAGGAATACGAATCTTTCAAGCGGTATCTTCTGAAGACAAAGTTTTATTTCTCCCTCTTTCGGGGGGTAGTGGTCTTTGTGCAGGGTGATATTCTTCATCCCTCATTCCACTTAGTTGGCTAGGCAAGATGATACCTCATTGCTCTTCACCGAGACCAATGCAAGAAATAATAATATGTAGGGGTTATGCGTGTTGCAGAAAGCAAAGGTGACTTCCTTTTCTGGTCTGCCAACCCTCAGACATTTCTCACTAGCTGTTTACAGATATTCATTCATCACATACAGAAATTGGCATGAGGCATTATAATAATATATCATGGCATGTACATTACTTGATGAAAAAAACCAGCTGGGTCACATCAAACCAGAGATTTCCTGACATTCTTCAGGAAGGATTTATTTTTTCTCCTGGAGTTATTATCCTCTTCAGGAAGCAGACAAAACAAAGATTTGCTGTGCAGCCAGGGGCAAATCTTACAGGATTTGTGCAATGCACATAATGTAATGACTGGGGAATGCCTTGGTACCCATGTTCTGGTCCTCTCTTTGAAAAAAATTTGATGGTCTTTTGAAGTGCTGAAACCCTCTTTCAGGTAGACTAGATGCTTTGGAGATCTTGACTGTTTTCAAGGATTTATAAGAAACTCCACTGTGGGGGAAAGCAGTAGCAGACAGTCTGATTCACAGGAGTCCCTGGAAGACATCCAGCTTGCAACAAGCTGCCTTGCATGACACAATTTGACATCTTCCTCCTCAAAGGATACTTGCTTCAGAAATCTATAACTATACCTTAGGATCTGAAGATCTCATTTATATACTACCATGCTAAGTGCTCTATTGTGCTAATCCAAAGAACTAGAATCAAACAACCCAAAGAAACAACAAAGGGAAACAAAATAAAGGAGATGGCAATAAAATCTCAGAGAAGTATAGTATGGCCGCAGTTACAATATGCTGACTACACATTTTAAATTGTCTTTCGTTTTTATCAATTTCATCTACTCTCAGCCAAGCCATCATTCAAAAGACCTAAGAAACTTGCAGAGCCATTATTTGGCAGGAAGAATCACCAATCTTTATTCTTAGATATTTTTCATGAGAAATTTTCAGTAGACATATGGAGACATGAGTCTTGTAGGTCTGTGGATAAGAAAAAAAATCCTAGCTGATTTCATAGACAAAATGTATTCCACATTAAATTTCTAGAATTAGAAATGGTGGAGAAAACACATTTTCAGGAGGGAAGACAACCCCAATTTGAATGGCAGAAGCATCATGCAACTGGAAGCATAAGTACCATAACTAGTGGCACTAATGGGACACCTACAACTTCATTTGCCCTCCCAGTAGATTCATGGCGGTCCATCTGCACACCCTGAAGAATGGCACAAACAAGGCAAAACCACTTGAAAAACATGAAGTGAATTCTATATAGTAATGACTGGAAACAGTGGGGAAAATCTCTTGTCAGTTTTCTTCCCCTGCCTAAGAAAAATTTTATAGTAGCATGAGGGAGTGATGACAGTCAAACATTTGGACTTGGCAGTAGAGGAACTTTTCAAAGATTCCTTCCTGACTTTTGACATGGTAATATTCAAGACATAGGGAGTAGATCAATAACCCCAAAACATTTTTTTGAGGAGATTTTATGATGTTTGAATATAACTACACTGAGTACAGTAACTTGTCTCTTCTTAGTCTGGGGGAAGGAGACTACAATTTACCTTTGCTATAACTACGGTGAAATGAGATAGTCTAAAATACTCTTGCAGGGACACCAAATTAAACTAATGCTCTGGGGTTGTCTTCTGTTGCACATCCCAGAACACCCATAGGCGAAAAGCCAAATACAATGCTGAAATTGTATTTAGAGATAGCAGCAGCTCTTCCACCTGCCCCAAACAAATGATAAAAACTCTGGTAATAAAAAATACATTTTTAACAGCCCCATAATTCTTAACAAATATATCAAAGTTGTTTTTTAAGGCCAATTCAATGATTTTGTCTGATAGGTCAGATAAAGAAGCCTCTCCTTTTCAAAGAATATAAGATTTCTCAAGCTCATTGTGTGTGCTGTAGGCATGAACTTGTAGAGAAGAGGCCCTTGTTAAGTATACTCTTTTCCTTAAGGAATCACTATGATTCACTGAATACCACTGGAAAAGGCTTCACACCAGGGTCTCTACAGTGATCAGTGATTCTTCCTTTAAATTGGAAACAGCGGTGAAAACTTTTTCAATGAAGGCCAGTAAAATCCTTTTTTGGTAAGGTGACAGAGCAGGCTCCTGAGGACAGGCCTGGTGTCTTGTTTGTCACCTTTAGTTCAGTGGGTTCTGTCCTCTGTGTTAAAACTGGATGGAGAGGCTGCTTCAAAAATGCAGAATCCAACAATTTTGGAGCAGATCAGCTTGTGTTTCCTAGCTACTAATTTCTAAGGCAGCAGGGAAACTTAATCTCATTCTTTGGAAAAGGACAGTAGGGTTCTAAAGTGGGAAGAAAGCAGCTACCGGGTACTGTAGTTCTTTAAGATGTGGCTGTGCACATTCACCCTGAAGGTTCTCTGCATTCAAGCAATTGGGAAGACAAAGATGTTGAGAAGTGAAATGTGTATGAACAAGATAACTTAAAAGCTTCAGGGAGTGGTATTTTCTTTTCCATATTTAAGCAATTAACCATTTACAAACATCCTACTCCAAAATCACAGCTGTCTAGAGGTGGATCTTGGTGTCCCTTATGCTTCTGTAAGAGCTTCATCAGTCTGAAAGCCTCTGCAATATATAGTGCCCACCCAGGTGAAGGTGTACACAAGCTGCATGTGACAACTTGGCAGATGTCAGCAATGGAGACTTTTCTTAGAAAACCCAACACTACAGAGTGAATTGTGGTGGAATACGCCACTCTCATGGAAGGCAAACTTGCCTTGGCTATTCTGTCAGGCTGTACTGCCACTGTCAAAATAAAACATCCATACAAAGTCAGACTACAAGACCATCTAGCCCACCTCTACTCTCTGATGTTGGTCAACAGAACATGCCTGGTAGACAAGCTAAAAATTGTAAAAGACCATTGTGATACTTCCCCAGAAAAGTCACTTGAAAAGGCTTAGAAACTTCCTGCTTGTTTTTTAGTTTTAATATTCAATATGCCCTAATAGATTACTTTTTCATATATTTGTCTTTTCAAATCACATACACTTTTTTGTATCCACAACATCTTGTGACAAAGAGTTCCACAGGTCATTTACACACTGTGAAAAAAAATCGCACCCCCTCCCCCCTTTTTTTTATTATTCTTTGAATCTGATATCTGTTAGTTTTATCTGATGCTCCTACTTCTAGTGGGCAAGACTGCAAATAATTACTCCCTTTTCACCTTCTCCTTTATACTCCTCCTTGCCCACATCTTTTCCCATTAACCACTTCCTGCATGAAGAGAACAATGAATATTAAGTTTCGTGCTCTTGATATAACCAATCTCAAGGACCATTTGACAGACCTGATTCTGTAACGATCAAATAAGGTCCTCCTGATGTCTGGCATAAACAAGGATGTCTTAGGTCTAGAAACATGAGGTTCTAGAAAGAAGAAAAGGAGGTCAAGTCCCACATTTAAGTTAAGCTCAGAAGCTTCTTTTAGAAGAAGCTCATGACAGATCCACAGGAATAATGTGTTCAGAAAGGAAATATTATGAAGAGGATCAATCAGCCAGTTACTGCAACCAAAAAAACCCAACTATTTAAACACAAGCAAATAACTCATCCAAATTCAAACAGTGAGCCCAGGATTATGATGAGCAGCAAATGTAGGACTGACTGAAGAAAAACATCCTTGGCAGTTTGATCAAGTAAACCTTAACAAAAATATGTCAGGAGCCAGACTACTTTTGTTTCCATCAAATAATCCAAAATGACTGGAACTGTTGTATTAGTACAAGAACGCAAGCTGAGAATCCAGTCTGTTCTGTAAACTCATCTACAAGTCAGTGATCTCCTTCACTGGTAAAGAAGAGGAATGGTCCAGCACTGCCAGCCATTCAATTCTGTGCACACACAGACTATCCATATTCCAGTATGAGGAAGAGGCACAGCAGTGAGATTCCTACTAGTAAACAAAGCTCTTGATACTAAAACCTCCTGCCACAGTGTGGAACCAGTATCTGAGACGTGTATGTTGACATTTCAGGCATCATAATGAGGAGCATTTCCAACAAACCATGATTGTCCAAAAGCATATCTGGTCTTGAGAATGGAAATTTCAGTATGTTTTGTGACCATCCAAAACTAAGTCTATCTAGTGTCACAACATGATGTCCCACTGATAGTACTCACATGGCTTGTGAAGCTGTTTTAAAGGCTAAGATGAACCATGTAAAAGTGAACTTAATACTTCACACACTAAGTACAAGTCAGCTGCTTCTGGAGAGGAGAGAATCTAATATCACTCTCTTAATTTTGATGTTGTGATATGTTCATCACCTAAGCGCAGCACAAAACGCTTGTATGAACACTGCATTACCTCAGCCTCCAGGACTCTGATATGCACCTTACTCCTTTCAAGAATAACAAGCCTGATGCTCTGTCTTTGGAACAGGCTCCTTAATTTAGAAGTGATGCAAACATCACGGAGTAGGAGAGAGCAAGAGGACACCTTGGTTACATTATCTAGTCTCACCACTGAAGTAGGTGCTGAATGATTGTTGGGGCTTTCTATTGGTAATTTTCTTTTCTCACAGTAACAAAGGCACTTTTGATGAAACTCAATGATGAATACAGGGAAGTAAAAGTCATAAAAGCAGAGACAAACTAATTACCACTTGAGGAACACATATGTAACTGTACTCCCCTCATGTTCAACTATTACAAATCCAGATTGGTTTCTATTTTCCTTTCCTCCCTTGTACTAGAAAACACTTCCTGTAAAATGCCTTGCGGGAAACAGTTCTATCCCTCCTCTCCTAAGATATTAACTGAGGCAGTCTCTGAGAAGTTTTCAAAAAGAGACTGACATGAAGGTAGCAGAGCTGCAAAGAGGGAAAATACATATGTTATCCTTCAGTACACAGTATCCACCATGCACGAAGACAGACAGGCTGAGCGGGGTAAAGGAAGACAGAAAAATTAAGAGGCTGGGATCGCAAAATTAATTCCCAATTCTCTATTGCACATACTCCCAAGGTAATAGCATTTGTTTCCAGAGCTGGGATCAGCAGATGCCCAAGGCAAAGGAATACTGCTATTTCCTTTGATGCTCCAGCTGCCCTAGCATATCCTGAGGCTGGACAGGAGTTCAAGGTCTAGGTGTTTGGCTTGAGATAAAGGACCAGTCTTGATATCCCTGGGTTTTTTTTTTTTACTTGTTGAAAGCAGAAGAAAAATTTTCCAGGGACAAAAGATGCAAAACTTTACTGCTCCTGAAGCTGACAAAATTCATCCATTTGAAACATGGGTCTTAGACTGCAATGTGCATTTCTCTGAATATTTCAAAAATCTTAGAGACAAGATGTCTGATGTATTGCTACTAAATCATCACAGTTACAGATGTGGTGCTGGCTACATCTAACACACAATGCAAACAAGTTCAGAAAACATTCTGGCTATAATTGAGTACAAACCATTATCCCAAAATGAGTGGGTGGGATACTGGCAAAGTTGACAAAACAATTAACTTATGTTCATAATAAACCAGCACTAATGGTAATTTGTCAGATAGAGATGTAAGAATGCTGTTTCTGCCAATGATCCTCTGAAAACAATCACCTCTCCTGGGCTAACTGTGCATATAAATCTCTATCCTCCAAAACTCTCTATAGTTTTCAGAGGTGGCTTTGACAACCTGAGTGAAGAAAGCAGGGAACAAAAACGAAGCTGAGAGTTCCACAAGGATATATATCCTATAGGTACTCAATCCTGCACATGAAACTCAGTGGAATAAAGGTAACTCAGATCCCGTGGGAGGAAGACAGGAATGGAATCTGTTACTTACTGACGCTCTTATAGGGAAATAGCCCCTCTGACAGTTCTGGAACAGAGCTGGAGGCTATAGCCAACACCATACATAGAAGAGTAGGCTATGAAAAGGCAGACCTAAGGTCTGGAAGCCCACAGATGCTGAGAATGTGCAAAAGTTTGAAATGACAACTTCTGCAACTGAATCTTCACTCATCATGAGCCAACAACTTGATGCACCAGTAGAAGCATCTAGCTTGGAGATCCGTGGGTGGAATTCAATGATTACAGACAGAAGGGATGTGATCTGGAAGTAACTTCACAAGATTTTACAGATCTCTTGGTCACTGATGATATGTGATGGCAGAACAGGCAGCAGACAAATGCTGTGTAAATTCTTGAAGAACACAGCTGAAAAACGCAGAGAAAGTGAACAGGATCGTGACTATCCTCTGACTGTCTAGGAAATGAAAGATAAGCCAAGGAAGTAAGAAAAGGAACAGCTACATCAGAGAACTGCATTTTAGACAAATGATGTATTCAATATCTGTCAAGTGCATGAGTGGAACAGAAATCAAAAAATGCATGTTCTGTCCTATGAATTCATGCCTGGAGCAAGCAATAGTGAAACTAATGGGGTATGAACATAATTATTTCATCTTCTCACAATTTATCTGGTCTTGAACAACAGAAAATATGCACAATCCAAGAGTGAACACGAACACCATCATTTCAAGAGAAAACACTTTCCCCCCTCTGACACTGTTTCTTCTGTCAGCCATTTGGGTTGATCATTATCTACTTGCCAACTCATGCGAATGATCTCTTAAAACAGACTATACAGGCTAGATATGACAGGGGAGCTGTGGAATAAGAAAACAGATCAAACAGGCTGTTAGAATCCAATCTCTGAGGGATCTGATACAAACAAGAGGTTTTGTATCCTTTGAGAATTAGTCATACCACTTGCTGTTTGATAAGGCAGAAGTTGCAAAATACTGAGTTTTCCTTTAACCTGGCACCAACAAAGATCCAGAACTGAAGCTGCTTCCTGTTCATTTTAAGGATGGGTGGATCTTCTCTCCAATACATTTTCCAGCTGCTGATGTTGTTTCCTAACACAAGCAGATTAATTTTCATACCGTTAGGCAAATTTTAACTGGAGCACTTCACCAAGCCACTATTGCAACTGATAGGAGCCACCTGGGCCTTAGGGTTCAAACTTGGTCTGAAAACATCAGCCAATTTAAAAAGTTTATAAAGCCTAAACAAACAGAAATTGCAATACAAAATAAGCCACACAGAACATAAGCATCCAATACTGAAACATAAAGACAGATTTAAAATCCTGTCCAATATGACAGCAAGTATTTTGGGGGTGTGAATTAATAACTGAAATTATAACCAAAACAAATAAATGAAATTCCTTTATTCAAGCCAATCATTTCTATAGCTCTGTGCCAAAATTCAAGATGGCAACCAACATGGATGTCTCCAGTCGTATGTTCTAATACTTTTCTCTGCTGATGGTTGCGATGTGATGACAGCAGAGAACCTTGGCTGTTATCAGACTAGGACAGCCTGAAATGGCTGAGCAAATGAGAGTTTATGTTCAAACTTGGACCTTAGGAAGAACAATACAGATGGCTGGAGGACCTCTGTCTTAAAGAGGGATCTCACGGTTAGTGGTCAGGAAGAAGTGGGGTGAAGGGACCCCAAGACTCAGCAGCAGAAGCTCTCAGAGGCAATCATTCACCTCAGCTTGCAGGTCTATCACTAGCTGCCACAGATGTTCAGGTACTCTCCTTGGTGGGTTGTCCTCTCACCAGGGCCTCCTCCTCTTCACTCTTTCCTGGCTGTTATGGGAGTGTGGTGGTATGAAGTCACTGCTGCTTCTTCCTTTGCCCCATACTTGAAGCAAAACCCTGGATTCCTCACCTGGTGTTCAGCATTAGTTCTTCTCTGCGAGCAGAAGCTGGAAAAAACACAAGGCAAAGATTCTGAGTAATCACGGGGGACTGTTTTGTGGGACAAGCTGCTTCACTGCTCTGCAAATTTCAGCCACCACCAGAAACCTGGATCTCCCTATCACACAACCTCTCTTCACAGTAACAGATGAGATCACAGAACAGTATGACAAAACCTAACTTAATAAGCTACTATGTGAGAAAGTACTCTAGGTATTCCTCTCAAGCCCCAGAATACCTTCTTCACCCTTCGCCTCTGACTCATCTGACTCATCTCTTCACATGTTCCTCCAGTAGCTCTAAATCTTCCTCCCTTATCAGTATGCTTTGTCTCTTTGTGTCTTTTACTCATCTGCTTGCATAGGAGTCTACTTCCCCACTCCAAAAGATGCTAAGGACCTTGGTGCAGAAGCGATGGGGGTGTGAAAAGGTTGATCTTTAAAAGAAACAAAATAGCGATAAAGAAAAAGTCTTTACTTCCCATTATTATAGACATACATTTTAATTCTACATACTGCAACATTTTTCTACTTAGGCGTGTTACAGGAAAAAGTCAATGTCACCTTCACTTCTTTTACTTAAAAATCCTTAGACAGTCCTTTAAAAGGAAAAATCCAACACACTTAGAATGTACGAAGCTTATTTAGGTCAGTTTGCATTTTACAGCTAATCTAGTAGGTAAAGCTTGTCCTGTGTACTTGGCACATCAGCTTGCTCCTAAATATGAGTGACATTTGTTGAGAGCTGTTTATTAAAAATATTGCTATTTTTAAAAAAATACACTCTCCTTGAAAGCCCAGCATAGAGCCAAAGATCACACAGCATGGAGGATCTGGAAAGATATTTAGAAAGCAGAATTGCCAGCTATGCCACTGCGAAGAAAGTTTGGAACCTTAAGTAGGAACCAAACTGTCAACCATGTGTATTAAGATAGGACACCAGTCCAGAAACCTATTCTCTGGAAATATGCTGAAATAAAGGAAACAAAGGCACATGAGAGGCAGCCAACTTCAACCTCATCTTCCTGTTTTGAAGAGACTTTTGAGCCTTCCTTTTCCTACAGAAATGCACAGTATAGTTTGTCTTTTCTCACAAACTGAATTAAAATCACTTTGTGTGAGTTCCTCTTGTATGGCTACCTTGAGGACTCAACACATAGAGGGCCATTCCTATGTCTGCAAGTAAATATGTAGGTTCCTATCATGAGTGCAGCCCATGGTCAATTCAATAAATTCAAAAGAATGTATAAAATTCTATAAAGTTTTATCATTTTAGAGCTACTGGTGAGCATTCCACCTCCTTCTGGTTGTTGAGTAGGGGGGACAGGCAAAAATCTCATTCCTGACAGCAGCCAACATTAAGGGTTGATTCTCCCTTGGGTTAAGAGTCATTGCAGGAATCACCATATACAACAGAATCGATCTCCTTTATCCTCTGCCTGCTAGGAGGTGTTGAAGTATCTGCCTGTATGTCTGTCCACATGTTTACATACTATTATGTCACCCATGACTGCACCTCAAAGACTTTAACACTTTTGTACGCAGAACAGTTACATGGAGGAAGAATAGGATTACCTTCATTTTACAGATATGATTCTGAGTCACAAAGAAATCACAGGAGTTGTGTAAAGTCATTTATGGGATACCTGCACACTAAAATTCAGTGCCATATAGACTTTCACACCACAGAAGTACACAGCCTTGGTCAGACACCAGCATCTAATCTACAGCTGCAGGAATGAATCAGAGCACAGCGTCAGGCTAGATGACAGCACCGGGTCAGGGACCCACGATAACATTTTTTAGAGCTAGTTTGGGCTGTTTCATCATACCCACAGAAAGTCTGTGGCAGAACCAAGAAGCGTGTCAAAGCCTCCTGAATCTAGTGCTGAAAACTGGAACTTCCTTTCTCCCTGAAAAGCTCTGATAAACCTAGAAATTCAGATTTTTCTTATCCCAGAGCAGAGGGAATTTCTAATCCTAGTGTGATGCCCAGCATTCTCTTGATAATATATATTGCAACTAAGAAAGGCAATAAATAGATTAGGTTTATTTATATCCATGGATGACTGACACTAGCAAGCCAGGACAGCTGACAACAGAAGGCCAGCCTTCCCTCCCCCATCTTTTGGGCACAATTTCAAGTTGGCTTGCTGGACTAGGCAGGCGAGGGAAAGCAGCAGTTCCAAGTCATGAAAATTTATTTGGGGGGGGTGTGAGAGTGACAAACAGTACACACAACTGTATTTGAGAGAAGACTCCTTGCATGAAAAGAGCAGTGAGCAGCCTCACTAGAGAGATAGCAGTGGAAGCCAGCATGAGCCTTCCTGCTCACCAAGTTACAGAGAAGACACTGGGTGGGCTCCTCACCCTGACTGTTAATACCCTTCTGTACTTGACAGCCTTCATCCTGATTTCTCTTATTCAGCTCCCTACTCCCTGGTTTGTTGTGGCTCTCTTTTCTCTGGCTCTACCCCACATTTCATTTCATAACTTCAGACACTCCCTTTACCCTATTCACACACATTTTGGCTTCTATTTTTAGTCTCAATATAATAATGCCAGATTAAAACAAAATCCAATTTGGATGGGCAAAGTCATCCTCTCTATAGGTAGCTTAATGCCAAAGGGCCAGATGTGAGACAGAAGTAGCCAAGATATTATATAACTTCTCCCCAGTCTTTGCACACCTGATCTTGAATGACATTTCCAACACAGCAAGGAAATACAGGCAGTTCGCCATCACCTAACTACTGCGAACAAGCAATGCTCAGCCTCCAGCCAGGCAAAAATGCCAACTGCCTGAAGTCATTACTTACCCTGCTTCGGAGTTTTCTTTGAATCTGTCAGAAGTGAAGGCTCCTAAAATTCAAGCTGGGTTCTAGTCCTTAAACAGGAAAGCCAATTTCTAGAGACTGTCCCTTCCTTTTTCTTCTGCTTTCCCAGTGGTCCTGAGACTTGGAATGTCCTTTAGGTGGCATGAGACCAGTAGCAACAGGAAAAAGCAACTTCCTTTCATAAAAGAAAGGGAAAAGGTTGACTGAAGGTGTGAGAGGCAGGCTGCTCTCACAAGTTATGGAATAAATGTAATTTCTGATCATTAGAAGTGAACACTGACCCTCAGCTCTAGCTGAGAGGCAATGGCTGAGTTGGACATTGTCTTCGTAACATCATCTGAGAAGGGCCTGGAATGCTGCTTTTGGCAGAGCTTTACACTCTGCTGAGATTTAATGAGACTTATGTACAGTTCTGATAAGTGGATGAACTCCAACATAGTCATGCCCTGTTGATAATTTGTGTCTACTTTAAAGGTATTGGTTAGAGACATCAGTATTTGCTCATTGCTAGTCATAAGGTAATGGTTTCCTGCTCCTTCAAAGTGTACCAAGAAATGGGGTAAGGAGAAGGTCTTTCTTTACCCTTTGCCTTTCTCTTCTGGTCCATCTGGTACTACAGGCTCGTTTGTCATTATCTGACCTGGGACAGATGCAACAACTACAGCAGGGAGAGAAATTATCTATTCCCCCCTTCCTGTTTGCCTTCTTTATGAAACTGTGGAAGTCAGCAGGGGAGAGAGAGAGAAGATCCAGGATGTTTTTGTGATGTGTGAAAGAACAATGGCTTTAGGAAGATAATTCTAAGAACAAATGTGAAACCAAATATCCTCCATTGTAACTGATTCTTTGCCCTCCCAAAAAGGGAGGCACAATAGTAGGATTAACTCAAGCTCCACTGCTTTCCAAAATATGATAAAACAGACTGATTTCGTTTCTCAATAACTCTTTCTCTTCACGGAGATGGCACTAGGGAGAGATGCTGACTGAATGTTATTATTGCTGTTGACAAAGGCTGTATGCAGGTTAAGAAGCTGCACTGGAAAAGTTTGATGCAAGGTGCTGGGTATCACACTGCTGTTCCCTTTCAGTGACCCACCCAGAGCTTCTCAGCCAGACAGGTATTTCTGGAAGGATTTATTTGGAAGATCTCACCATTACTCCATTCCTGGACTAGGATAAGTAATGAAGTGACATCAAAAGTTCCCCTTTTGTGTCATAAGATATCTTGTGCCTGAGTAGCCAAAGTAGTCTGAGGTAGAGGTTACTCGAGGTGCCCATTTGAAGGTCACCTTTCAAAGTCAAGACCACTTGTGCAGTCAGTCACAGCAACAAGAGAGAACCAGGAGAGTAGCAAATCAAGACTGGAATTAACAGGATTAGTGGGAGGGAGGAGGCGTACCAGCAATGTGTTCCACAGAAACCTGAGTGACTTCTTTTCCCAGCTGCTCCTGATGAAGGATTTGGACAGTGTGGTGAGACCAGCTGAAATCATAGCCAAGGTTCCTCTTGGGAATGTGGTAACAACATAAAAATAAATACATTGGTGTTCAAAGCCTTCTGAGGCTGCAGGGGAGCCTGGCAGAAGCTGAGGAAGTCTGGACAAGGCTGGGCAGCTGGGAATTCCACCCTACTGTAGCAAATGGCTGGGAGTCTGACACAGGCCATGCACAGTGGCAACACTACATATCCCATCCCATCCCATCTCCACCCTTTATGCTCCAAAAGAGTTGAGAGACACTGGCTGATAAAAGAATCTCCAAATCCCAGGCATTTTCTTTGTTTAGATCTGGCAAACAATACAAAGTGACTGTAAGCATCTTGTTTACATGCCTGTTGTGTTTACTTGCCTTTTTTTTTTTTTCCCTTTTGCTTGTGCAGGACAATTTTGAAGTTTGTACTCTTGCATACGTGATAGAAGAATCTCTTCTTTTCTTTCCTTAAGCTTATATAAAGAGGCCACATTTCAGGAATAATGATAATTCAAGCAGTGGATAGACAACAGCTTGTCACAGCTTAGCACCTCCAATGTTAACTCTAGTTTCAGGTCTCCAATAACAAGACATACATGACCTTCTTATGTAGGACGATACAATAATCTTGGATATAAAAAACTTTAGAAATACACAGTCTACCTGTAGATTTCCTGTAAAATAAACTGGGGCACACAAGATGCAGAGAAGAGTAAGTGCAAAGTGCTCCTTACTATCACTGGTTTGCAAGCAGGCTCCATTCATTGCTCTATACCGGACCACACTGCTCGCACATTCATCTTACTTGGATGGCATTCAGACACTGCTCTCCACCTTAGCCTAAAGAAGGAAATCACTAGAAAACTAAGAACAGATGCCTGCCTTCTACATGGATTAGATCCAAACCAGTTTATTAATCCCCATATTCTTCAACTAGTCTCTTGGCAGCTCAGGATCCAGTTTTAAGCCCTTACAGATGATGCTACACTTCTTTTCGAAGTGTTGCATACCTTCAGGAATTGGCATTCATGCCGATACGAGGGCTGGGTAAATGTCCAAAGTAAACAGACAACTGTGCATCATCCTGCAACTAGGCTCAGATATAGAACTGGGAAATCACAGGGAATAAAATCAAGTCTATGCCACCTAGCTCATGAAGTTTCCTCCCTAGTTTCAGATTGAGTTTTGACATTCACCTTCTGTATGAAGCATTCTCAAGAGAACTAGAATACAAATAAATTAGTTTGGGACTCATGCTTTAAACCAGACTAGGTAGAGATCTGAGACTTTGCATGAATTAGCAGTCTTCACTTCTGTCAAACTTAGATAGTACATTAATAACTTTTGCCTCCCCTAATCAGTAACTCTAATGCTTTTTTCTTCTCCCAGCACATATAGTGGAAAAGCCATGTGGACACTAGTAATATAAACATTAGCACAATAAAACTGTGTCACTGTTAATCAGTCTGAGTATGAAAAGGTGAAAATCCTGTCAAGTCTGGTGCCAGACATCAGTCTTACCCAGTTTTAATCATGATTTACATTTGTTTGTGTCCTGGTTTGGGGTCAAACCATGACGGTTTGCAATTACATGGGTTACTAGCACATTTTATTTTTGCCATAGCAAAACAGATCCCCAGAGGCATTCTGCATTCTGAAGCTTTTGAAATAAAAATTTCACGAACTTTCAAGAAGTTGGCAGCAAATGAAACAGAGAAGCACAAAGACAGAAGACAGATTTCACTCATAGTTGCTGTTACCTTTACAAATGAAACCAAACCAAATAAAATCAGTTGGGGTCATCCCCTTGTACATCCACTTCACAACTGCATTGAGGGTTTAACCATACTTTAGGATTGTTCCTGTCTCCAGGCAGACAAGAGTCCAGCTCGGGAACAGAGAAGCTGCCTAGGACTAGGCTGCTATATTTTCACAAAGTGCCCTTCATACTCTATTTTCCCTAAAACCTGCTTTGTGTCAGCATTTTCAAAAAGGAAGAATAATAAATAGAATAAATTTCTAACTATGAGGTATTCCACGTAGCTACGGAACTTCCTTAATGTTTCTTGCCAGTTGTTCAAAAGCTAAATTCTGGTGGAAAAATTACACCTTTTTTACCTAGAATGTCGCTGCCTTGGGAAAAAGAATTCATGCACCGTTCACCCAATGCCACTAGAGAGGAACAGAAAATAAAACAGCGAAATATTGCAAAATATCTCCATACACCTTACATTGTTAACATATACAGTAAAAAAAATTACCAGCCAGTAGGTTCCTTTCTTCATCATCTGAACTTGCCATATCAAACATGGCTTCATAAAGACAACCTGGAACTGAACAATCTACCATACTACATAGCTTAGCTGTTACTCAACAACCTATATTCCGAAGAAGACTTGGAAAAGAGAATTGATTTCTTAGTTCACAATCACTGTATTTCACTAATGCTAACTGAATTGCTAAATTCTATGAAGCAGGAAACAATCTGTGTAAAGCTGAGGGACCCTCAAGGTAAGACAGAATAAAAACCAGTGATGTTATAATGGCTGTATTTTCAGAATGACTGACAACCCACCAGCAGCTGGCTGTTCAATTTCAGTGAAAAATCAAGTCAGAAGTATTTTGAATCTTCCATAAAGGTAGTAATTCTTCGTATTTCTTTAATAGAATAAATTCTGTTAAACTTTCAGGAACTTTGATAGGAAACTGTCTGTTCAGAAAGTACAAATAACCCCCAAATGACAGCTTGTAGATTTAGCTTCCCATCTGTAGATACTCATAAGAATCTCTGCCTTCTCTCTCATCATGCCAGTGGTACACAGCTCACACACAACTTCTGCCTCTCCATGAAATGAGGATGAGGCCACAGGGATGAGAGGCTGCCACACTTTCATTGTAGTGGTGGCTTGTTTCAGAATCCCGAGCTGCTTTGCAGAAATGCTGTCTTTTATTCTCCCTTTCATTTCATCTCAAGGGATCTGTCCTCAAGAGCTTGAGCCCACTGCACAACAGTATCTTCCACTGGTATTCTCCTACAATTGCAGTACTAATCACCAGTGAACAGTTTTATGGACAATCTGGTTAGAAGTTTCCATACTGCCTGACTAACTCTTCCTTTGAGCATCATCCTGACTTTTGGTTAGATCATTTGTGACACCTTTATGCTTCTTTTCTGCAGAGCCCCATAGCTATTCTCAGACAGGCTATTAGAAGAGAAGGCCTATTCAAGCTTCTCAGACATTTTTTAACATTTGTGTCTGTGTTTATACAGAGGTTCTGCCTGGTTCCTCTTTTATCTCTGCAACTTTCCACAGCTTTCTATCTTTAAATGCTTGCAGTTTATTCTCCAATTTGCTTTATAACTTGTGTCTCCAACCCCTCTAGTTGGTATCTAGGATACTAAAAACATGTGAAACAGTAACCCCAAATAAGCTGCTGATGAAGGAAATCAGGGCCCTAGTGTAAGCAAGCAATGGAGAGAGTGAAGAAGAAAAACAGCTGTTCCTGCAGGAAGGACCACAGTAGTTTCTGAGACACACAGACTGGGCACAGAAGCCTCTGACGCATACCAGTGGCTTGGTGCAAAGCTGAAGAAAATATCACTCCCCAGTTTCCAAGAACAAACATTTTGCTCTAGTTAGTTCAATCACGCCAATGTTTAGCACTGTCCTTGGAGCTATATACCTCTTCCAGCAACAAGGAAGCTTTGAGTGACCCACCCACCGTGGTTCTGCTAGCCTACCTCTAGCCAAACGAGGGTTCTAACTAAGCCCTCCCACTCTTAGCTAAGTGGCAGGCCAAACCCTTTGTTTCAGCTTCAGAGAGGGTAAGTTTAGTACAGTGCAGCCAGCCTAGTCCCACCGAAGGAAACATGAGCTGAAGTTCTCAGTTCTCACTGGATTACAGGTATTCCCTGAGAGGGTGACTACCCTGAACTTTGTAGTTGTTATCTAGCCTATACTCTTCCTGCAGCTCTGGCTGTTGCCTTCCATCATTAATATTATCAACAATTCTTACGCATGCTCTGCATAAATATTCACAGAAACAGAGAAGGATAGAAAAATGCTACCTACAGCTATCACAAACATATGTAACAACAACAATACCCAGAGGAGATGGAGAGAATGTCTTGCAGAGATTAAAATTATAGGGTAGCAACTGTGAGAGTGCTCTTAAAACTGTGAAAGAGAAAGTAGAACTCAGCACACAAACGCCTTCACGTAAGTCCACTCAGCAAACCGGTTTGGTCAGTATATTGAGAACTGTTTTCACATTTACTTGTAAATTTATGTGTAAACTTGCTTTATATACTGTACTAAAAACTCGAACTATACAGTAGACCAGATCTTTTGCCTCAACTATACATATACTGCAGTGTTCACATAATTTTATTTACTTTGATAATCCCATTATATTCCATTCCTACACTGTCACATTCCAATATGCTGTAGGGTCTTTTTTATTGACTATGGCTATTCACCTCATAAAATTTCTGGTAGGATAACTGGAGTTTTTGGCAGGTGGTAAAGCGTAGGAGGCAGTTTGGAACTGTACAATAAGTGAATTAGCTGAACGTTTGTGCTTGAAGATCAGCAATAAAATCACTGACATTACTAATGGAAATGTCATCTTTAATTTCAGAGCTAAATATGCAAGACATGAATTGGGTAGTTCACCCATATGCAAACTTTTCTTTCAGCCTGTGAAAACACAGCCATCACTGCATTAGTGATACTCAAGTAATGTTTTCAGGGTTTTCACAGCAAAAAAAAAAAGGTCAGAAACATATTTTTTTAAAGCATTCTAGACCATAATTTGTCCATAGATTCCATTTCAGCACCATCACAAATTACTGTGGGCCATGGATGGTATGAGTTCATCAAGACTACACTGTACCTGGTAAAAGGTCTGCATCAATGAAAAATGGTTTGGGTTCTCATTTACTGAGAACTTAACAGCAGATAAACCTGTTTGAATTAATTAGCCACTAGGAACAATGAAGATTTGATTCTATAAGTCTCAGTGATTTTCCTTTGGGAACTTTCACCTCTACTGATTGACTTTACTATGCAGCTGATTCACAAGACTTAACTATGCCTTTCTGAACTAAGGGGCTTTTCTGCAAGACTGAAGAAAAATGTAAAGAATGTCCTGGCTCTTTATTACAGGCCAAGCTTAAACAACAGAACATCTTTGAGCCAAAGCCTAAAGCAAAGAGGAGCCATTTTAGCCAAGTTTTTTTTCCCAGCCACATTTTTAGGGATCCTCCTCTTCCAACTCTATGAAACTCAGCCTTTGCTCCCTTCTGTTTAGTCTTTTTAATCCCAGGAGGAATAAATTCCCTGCACAGCTGAACCCAGACCGTTACCTAGGAACCACTACATGCAGGGTAGGCAGCTGTGTTTCTTCTTGCTGAGCAAGTTTTTTCCCTGCCAGTTCTTGAGAAAGATGAAAGCACCCCAGCATGCCCACCCCCACTTTCCTGGTCTTCAGCACTGGCACTCACCTGTGGAATTTGTCCCTGGCTCACAGGATGCAGCACTGCGAAGGGTGTTTTGAAATCTGTTCAGTTGCCTTTCAGTGGAGGTCACCCTAAAAGGTGAAAGCATCAAATTAGGCAGAGATAAGAAGGAAAACACCAAGGAAGAATAAAAGTCTCAAACAAAAAATTGAGAATTCTCCTAGTTTACATAATCTCACTGTGATTGTAGCTATGAAACTGCACCTGAACATGGTATGAAAAAAATCAGTGACAGCAACTGACTCCAAAAAGGCAGAGCAAGACAGAGGAACACTTAAACCACCAGACTCTGATGTGCCTAAAACACTTAATTGTCCCACATGCCTTGGAAGCCAATTCTGGAGGATAAAGGAGATATTAAATTGGATTGGGCCACCAAAGCACAATTCAACTAGTAATGCTGTGGTCACCTTATTCCAGTGATTTAAGTAAATGATTAAGCAACCTTAGAACAGAAATACACACACTGGCAAAAATATCCTACATTCAGAAGTTAAGTATTTTTACTTTGTCTCAGCAGAGACAGATCATTTAGGCAATTTCTCACTTGTCTTGGAAACTGAGACCCACAAGATGCATTTAATCTCCAGTAGTCCAGTGCCAGTCCTCAAGCAGATACTTTATGCAAATCCTCCTTCACTTATCTCAGCATTTGAGTTACAGCAAAACTATATTCTGTGGACTACAACTACACTTCCTCTAACTGTTATAAAGACTCATTACCAAAGTGAGACCATGCACTCCTGCATAAAAAATAAGTCTACTCACAAAGCAAGGTCAAACTATACAGCTGCAAAGACCTACTCTGTCCTTAGTATCTATACAATTGATCCATCTATTCCTAGTTTGTCCTCTCCTCCCTTATCCCCTCCCTGCTTTTCTTCCTTCCTGCCCAACTCTATTCTGATCACCCCAGACTTCTGCATGTATACTCCTGTCTCTCTGCCAGAGTCCTTCTCCTTCACTCGTTCAGCTCTGCAATGTTACACAGTTACTGTGAGCTCTTCCCCAGAAGAGCACTGTAATGTCCAATCCCCATGTGATGCCCTGATGACTAACAGACGCAGGCACACGTGTGCATTTTCTACAGTTTTTTCTGAAGACTTGCTTTCAGATTTCAAAGTCAGCAAATTGCCAGTAATCCAGGTGCTCCTGACAGCTAAAAGGCCAGTAAGGGACTCCTGTATTTTATCTCAGATAGATTTTAGTGAAATAAATTGGAGTCCATACAGGACGGGAGAGGGATGCAGATACGACATTTGCAAAACACAACCCCTTACTTCAGTCAGCCATAATTTGAAATGTTATTGTCAAATGAGGTGCCTGTTTCTATGTTTATTGTCTCTTGGAGAGAATTTTGGATCTGTACTTATGATTTCTTTTGCTGCTGATACTGCATGGTCCTTCTGGGAGCTGAGAATCCAGATGGAGCTTTGTGCTTCTTACATAGAGATTCCACGCTCGTAACTAGCCTGCCCACTTTGTTAATGCAGCACAACTGACAGCCAAATTCAGTTTGCCCTTCTGTAGGTAGAATGCAAGACTAGTGGTTGAAAATATCATCAAGGATGCCAGCAAGTACAACCACAACAACAAAAAAATCCAACTGGGGACAGTCACACTTCTACCTTAAAGTGTGGCTTATGTTTAGAGAATCTTTCTCTCTACAGACTTGCCCTTCTTTTCTGCCTACCCACAGTGTACCTTGTTTGTTGAAGTTTCAACTGTCACCTCCACACAGCTCATTCTCAGATCTGCTTCTGGATCACTGATCTCCCACCACACTAAGCTCACCCCTCAAGTTCTCTCTGCTGTCCTGATGGAAGCTCCAGTGCCAGAACATATTCACTGCTTAAACTGAGTTAATCCCTTTCTACTTTATTCCTCCTTGGGCTGGCTGAAACCCTACTGCCTTTCTCAGTTTCCTGCTTTTAATGTCTGTGTTGGTTTTGCTTCCATTTCTCCAATGCAATACATTGTTACATTGTCCGTTTCTTCTTCTTCAATACTAACACAAGCACTGTCCCCTCCACTTAAATATCTGTCATTGCCCTTTTCTATCTCTTATACAGCTAAAGCCTCCTTGAAACTGATACTGACTTCCTTCATTTTAGGCACTAAAACAGCCCTAAACTGCCCAGCCTTTGACTGCAAATTTGGAGGATGCTCTTGTTCCACAAGTGACAAAGAAATGCTTTCTTGACTAAATTTTGAACACCTTTCTTTTAACAACCTATCCCTGGGATGCCGTGAACCCATCTAATGGTCCAGGTGGGACAGAACTGACACTAACAAATTCACATCATAAAAAGTCCAGGTTTGACAAGAGGACAGCAACAGATGTGAAGATCCAGAGCCAGGGAGGCTTGTTCCTCTCTGTTGCTCTTGGACAGGGTATTTCTGCATGTGTATCTGTGTGTATGATCTGAGGCTAGCCAAGGGCTAAGAACTACAGGCCTAGTGAGCCCAGCTGTGTCAGGGTGTTAAATCAAGGCACGTCTCTCAGATGCACTGCTTTTGCTGCCAAAAACGTCTAAGGGTCAGGCAGCCTGATTAACCCAGATGCTCAGGAGCTAAAAAAAACAAGCGTGCCGCAGTACAGCAGTAGCAAAAACGTGAAAGAGGTTCCAATAACAGTTACATGCTTGCTCTCCTGCTGCCTGTCCTCTTTTCAGTGGGCACTCAGTTTGTATGTGTGATGTACCCATCTCACTGAAGACGCTTCACGCATGCCTGTGAACAAGCACACATGAGCAAGACAGGATACAAACTAGAACCATCCTGGTTTTTACAGGGCTCACTCTGTGGCCATCATTCTACTTTTGGCACATTTGCCAGGCTTGGCCAGCCTGTCCTAGAACAGCTGGCTACTGTTATATCCAATTGCAGTCAGGACTCCACCCCACCATGGGATGGATTTCCTGAACCCTGGAGAAATGCATCACCTCTACCCTATTTCTGTACTAGTTACAGTAGAGCAGAACTTTGGCTATTCTGCTGTTGGCACCACGCAAAGCAAATATACAAAAGAAGAGCAAGGTGGAAAGATTTTGTGCTGTGGTGTTGGGACTTGAAGGGAATATTTGCTTCAAAAGGCTTTCTGAATAGAGTTCTTGGGAATGACATTTAGAGAGAAGTTCAGTACAAGAAATTATGCCGTGTTGATCAACATCTCCAATAGTTTGTGATGTTCCAGTCTACTGCTATTAAACTCAGTGATCTTCCCGGGCTCTCCCTCTCCCTGATAACATCTTGAACTGTATGCTCTTTTTCTCTACCTGGCATTTCCTCTCTTTATATACAGCGATCTAATATTGACATCTGAATTTTTCTGAGATCTTTTCTTTGACTGATAATTCTGTTCACGGTCTTGCTCTACTTGAAGATGTCATAGTTAGAGAGCAGGTTTCTGAAAAGTTACTGTAGGAATGACAGTGCAGAAATTTGTATTTATTGTGACTTAGTCATTCCTAAAAGAAGGAGGATTTTCTGCCTACCACCTGTACCAGTTCACTCTGGGTTCTGACAGTTGAGCTAATATGTTTTTCTACTTTGCATGCTGTCATCTGTAACATGAAGATTCGATACACCAAATGCTGCTTCCAGGGACATCTGCTTCATTCCAGGGCTTACAAATACTGTATCTGTGATCTCTGTCTCAAAATGTTGCTCACAGCTACCAGCAGGTCTCTTTATGGTTCATAGACCTGCCAATACTAGTGGCAACATGAGCAGTGGAAAGGACTCAGCCTGACACTTGAAAAGTACTAAGAGCTTGTTGTGTTAGCTGCTCAAAAACTATCTTTCTACTTGTGATATGAGCACATTTAATCAAAACTATGGAGCCCCATGAGACCATTTTATGGGGCTACTTTTCAGCGTAGAGCTACATATGAAACCATTTCTCCCAGTTAGTCTTTTTCCACACCTTAATATGGGCCCCGGTTTTCCACTCTGTTAGCTTAAACAAGGAGTCTGCTTTGGACACAATCCATCATCAAGTCAACCTACCACCTTTTACAAGTTGAGAGACTGAGAAAACAAGAGAAGCCAGGAACTGAAAAGACAAGACTGAATTGTCTGGCTGTTCCATTACTTTTTTCCTTTATGTTTTAAGCAGGGAAGTGTCCAAGTTACTAGATAGTTTTTGAATTAGTCAGTAATGTTCATCTTTAGCATCTTATTCTGTTTGTAGTTGAGTTTTCTACTTCTTACTCTTTTCTTCCTCTTCTGGAAGCCACGTGTGCTGGCTGGGAGAGAATTGATAATGCATGCAAGGAAGAGATAGGTCAAAAGACATAGTTGATTTAGTTTGTCTTCACAGTCCAGTCTCTGGAGAAATTCTACAAACAACTTTAAAAAGATGATCTTTATTAAGATGTTAAAGAAAAGCCAGGCAGTGCAAGAGCAGACAGAGAAAGAAGGTCTGGCTTACTGAAATATATGGAAAAAAAAAAGACACGAGAACTTTAACAGAGTGGGATTAGTTTCAGTGAGTCTTGTGGAAATAATATACAGCACTGAGACCTTCTTTGAGGAAAGAGATCAGGAAAACAGCCAACAAGTATTAGGGGCTGAGAGTGGGCAGCAAATCAAAAATGACCTGACAGAGAAATGAAGCAAAAAGCCAAAATTAGATCAGATGTTATGGAGAAGGATACTTGCCATGTCATGACCTAAAGATACAGTAGTTCCACACTGGGGAATTACAATTCTGGTTGCCACAATGCAAGCATTCTGACAAACTGATGAAAATACAGTGAATTCAAGACAATTAAGGACTTGGCAGGTGGAACTACTATCTGAGGTTAATAAAACCTCAACAAGTCTAAGCAACATTAGGTAACTCCAAGAAATAGAATAATATTCAGAAAATGGAAAGTATTTGCAAGGGATAGTGTTTAGGGTGGTTCAGGAAGGAAGAACAAAGTACCACAGGATAAAACAAAGGAAAAAATCAGATTGCACATCATGAGAAACTTTGTGATAATAAGGTTGTATAGATGGTAGGGTTTCTGCCACTGGAGTTTTTTGAAAGCAGACTACACTCAGTGTCCAAGAATACCTTGTACAGAATAACCAGGAAGTGTAAAGAACAGGCTAAAGCATGCAAGACATCTTTTTGTTCTCTAAACTATTTATTCTCTAATCTATATTCCTTTGATACAGAGGCTTCTCTCCATTCACTGTTCTCTGTCAATGCATCTCTGGACTTTTCCTGACAACAATAAATGGAATAAATTAGACTGAGACATAGCAGTTTTTAAACGATCGGCACTCAGTATGCTGGAAATATAGCTGGGCACTGCTGTTTTCCATGTAAGCGAAAAAAATGTTACTGCAAGATCCCATGAATGGCAAGAATGGGTTTGGAGTCTTGTACTGGAGACTGAAAGGCAACTTGGAAAGTATTTCCGGAGTGGCTCCTTGCAGCCTTCAATACTTGGATTAGTTTTCTGAAATTCTGAAGGAATCTTTTGCTTTTTTTCCCCCTTCTGTGCATTTTTGGTGCTGAACTTTTTCCGGTTTTCCCACACTCCTGCCTGTCACAGAGCAGAAACCACAAAAATGCAGCAAACTCAAGTCTGTCCAAGGAGCTGCAATTCCATCTCACAAGGGTAAACATTTCCTCTGCCAAGAAGTGAGCACAGCACACCGGCATCTTCAAATACACATCCCTGCTGCCCAGCAGAGAAACCCACTGACATAGCCTATCACCTGTACTAACATGAGCTACCTAACATGAAAGAAATCAGATAGCAAACCCACCAGCATATACCTGCCAGACCTGATGCTCTCATCTGCATTTGCTGAGTTGACAATGTCTACTAACATTTTGTTTTCTTTTTAAATAGTTTTGGGAGATTAATTCAGTGTGCTGTCTCTTAAGAGCAAGAGTATGGGCAGGAAATACACAAGCTTTCCCAAAGCAGTTTTATCCAAGCTCCTTAAATACAACTTGCAGTTCTAGATTTGATACACACACACTGACAGTGCCCTAGCATCTTCATAAGGTGTATTTCATCAGTAATCTTTCACTAAAACTTCTCTCTTTAAACAGGAAGGGAACACAGAATCAGGAAACCTCATAGGAACCTGCTCGGAAAGCTTTACAACTCTTCTGGCTGTAGAGTGAGTATAAGGGAGGAAGTTATGAATACAATTTTTGCCCTTCAGTATTCAGGGATGAAACAAGTCTGAGGATATATGAGGAAAAACTTCATGAAGGATTTAGTCTAAAGCAGTCCTGTCATTTAAGAGGAGATAAACAGAGAGCTGAGGAAGCTACCAAGAAAGGTAAAGGATAAGAAGAAAACCCAGAAATCTTGCTGCATTCTCTCATAATGCACAAAAGAGAAGACACACCAAGAAATGGAAAGGAAGGAAACTTATAATCAGTCAACAACATTTCATGGTGAATATTTTTGTTTGTTTTTAAAGATAACACACATCAAATCCATCTACCTTAGAGTGGCAAGCACTATATAACTAAAAGCTTAGTAAAAGTTAAAAGGATTTCTACAGATAATGAGGAAAGCTATCGCTACATTAGGTACAATATAAATACTTTAAGTAAACACTTGTGCTTGAAGGCAGAAGTCAATCATTGTGTGTTAAATTTATGGCTCAAATACAGATTAGCTTGTTAAGTATATTGTATTCGTTTTTTTTTTTTTTTTTTTTGGCAGCCTCTTCTGATCCACCAGATTCTATCCCTCCTCAAAGATTAAACATGGAGGGAGTGACTCAAGTGCCTAAACACAGTACCATACATGGTACTCTCAAGTTATCTGAGACATCTGCATGGGACTGGCAGATACAACACAAGATCTATAGAAGACTTGTGCTCATCTGGAACAGCAACTGGAGTTCAGGTGGAATAGACCTGGGCATCCAAAATGTCACTAGCAACCTGTACTTAGGTAACTGAATTTCACCCTGGATCAGATACTTCTCTGATTTAATCTGGCAGTTTCCATGTCCTTATGTTTGTATGATGTTGCAGTCTTAGCTGCCTTACTATTATGAAACATGAAACTGCAACATAGCGCACACCTATTTCAGAATACACAGCTCTGGTTATTTTGAGATTTATCTTGGACAGGACAACCAAAAAGATCAATGTCAGTCACATGTAGACAGGTTCTTCTCCGATATTCCTTTTTGGGGGAACCAGTGCCAACTCTTTGTTGTGGATGGGAAGAGATGAAACTTACTTGGAAATCCTCTGGGCTGAAACCTTTCTGACCACTGCCTGCCTGTGGTTTGCTGGAGGCTTTGGAACCAGTTGAGAAGGCGTACTCTGGGATGGCATCACTTTGTGCAAACTGGCTGCCTTCTGGATACTAGAAGTGGCACTTGATGTCTTGCGGGCATCAGAGCCAGCTGGCATAGCTATATGGCTGGTGTTGGAGTGTGAGGAGTTGGCAAAGAAAGCCTGGTAAAGAAAAAACAGAACAAAAATACCACAGTAATTGGTGATTACCTCTCTGAATATTGCCAAGAGAGCTGATGGAGGCGGGTGACATTTTTGTGAGGGATAATATCTGATCGGTGAAGGCAACCCCAGGGCTCCAGAGACAGTCCCACACATAAAAAGAAGTGTTAAGTGGTCAGGTCAGTGAAGTAGTTTTCAGAGCTGAATTTTATACCCTTGGAAGCTGAGACTAGATTCTAGGAAGGCAGACAAGCTTATTACTGCCACAGAACGATACTATTCTGGATTAGAAAACAAGAGATCCTATCCTCAATCTAATCTTGCACTGAGGCTCCCATCCACAAAGAAGTAAAGCTTTTATTGCTTTGACTGACTTTCTGCATTTATCTTGCTAAATTATTCTTTGTGTGGGAGGTGGGATTGAGACACAGTCCTAGGGAAGAAAAAGGTTATGGGGAAGATATTACAATTCCAATTCTTCAGTCTAACTCTATAGGTGCTTGGAATAACAGAAAGGGTCTAGGTTACCTTCTCTGAAAAAGGGACTTTAGGTCAGCAGCTGACAAAAAGGAAATCCCCAGTAATACCAGGGAACAGAAAATATTTATTTTCCTACAGCAGGTGGGAGAGTAAGTGTGCTAGAGATTTGTCACAGGGAACAAAAGAATCCGCATGTTATGAGACACTGGAGAACTGTGCAGTGGACTGGCAAACCAGGGAGGGGGGAATGGTTCCCTATGGAACCTCTGCAAACTGCTCAACTCTTTTCAGAAAGGAGCAACCTGCTGGGAGTTCTGCCTTGTCTTTCCTCGAAGTCAGTCAGATTCCCAGGGCAGAGAGGCAATACCGTAACCGTTTAGTTTGGCAGCCAGAGGTCAGTGATAGGAGGTGAGGGGAATAGCTGAGCATTTGCCAGTCACCTCAGCGTGACCCTGGGAGCAGTGCTCTTCACTGCAATTGTCCTCAGTTTCTTCTCTGGTGAAAAACACACAAAGCCACAGCGAGTGGGCTCCAGGCTCCAGAGAAAACCACAGTCTGAGGGCTGGCTTTGTCTCAGCACACAGACAGGAAAAGCCCCTCTCCCCCGCAATTCTCTGGCAAATGGCAGGGCAGTGGTGTGTGGGAAGGCGTTTCTGACAGTCAGAGCTCTAGGGAGAAAAGGAAGTGCAGGAGCCAAAACAGGCCTGTTTCCTAACTAGAGCTCACTGACAAGATGTCCTTGAGTTCCCAATCCTTCTTAACCTCTCCCTTCCCTGAAGCTCTACCTTTCAGATTTTGAATGTTTCACAGCTCTCAGATTTTGAATAAGTACCTGGTACAAATGCAGAAGTCTGGAAAATTGCCCACCTCTCCCCAGCAAAACAAACTAAAACGGAACTCGGTTTAGTTGGTTGCATCTTAGAGTCTGACACATCGTGGGGTTGGGATGGAGACCTTCAAATCACTACAGTCTCTTCTTATTCAGGGGTGACATTTCATTGTGCTGTTTGATATTATGCGTGCTTCCTGTAAGTTCTTTTTTTTTGTTATTAAAATCACTAAGATCCTGGAGTCCACAAAACATGCAGTCCTAACCTCTTCCCTGTGTTAACATGCACTGACAAGGAGGTCCATGACTCTGAAGAAAGAGCAAGCATGGATGTTCTAACAAAGTCTGATCAGCACAAGCTGGGCTGAGACCTGCCTAAGGAAAGGTCATGGATGGTTTTCTAGAGGGTAACAAACTTCCAAAAAGGCCTTTGTCTCCATGCTGTGCTGAGATTTTGGCTGCCTTCCAGGCAAGGATGGGGAGACTGGAAGTTGACACGGACCATGGCTTCTGGATTCAGCTACAAAGCATACTGCCCTGCTGTGAACTCCATGGGGACAGGACAGGAAACCAGGAGAAGCTACTGTGCAAATAAAGAGGGCAGCTGGGGAGAGCAGAGTCTGACCACACAAAGGAAGGGTTGGGAAGAGATTTCAGCATATCTAAAAAGTAGGAGACAGACCTCATCACTCAGGATTCTGAAGGCTCAGGGTCTAGGGAGAGCAGAAGCCGAGACAAACCCTGACGGAGGCTGTCCTGAAGCAGGTAGCACCCTACAACTATTGCTGTTTCAAGTAAAAAACTTTGAACCACACTTTCTAGGCTGGCAGATTTAACTTGATGTTGAGGAGGCATCTGCTTACCTGACAAGTCCTTGGGGTTACAAATCTGAAAAATACTTAAAATACTATGAGACTTTTTAGCTAAAAATCAAGTAAAGCATTAGCTCATTAATTCTCTTGCATAATTCTGTGGGGAGGAAGGACAGCATTAACCCTGTCTTGCACATGAAGAATGTTAGCCCTGACAGAGAAAGTGAGTTTCCCTAAGCCATAGACTGAAGCAATATGAAAAGCTAGGTTGAGAGCTCAGAGAAGATCCTGACTCCCAATCCCATATTTGCCTCATTAGATCGCACCTCTCTTTGCTTCCACATCTACACACGAACATCATACACAAAGTGTTATCTGTACAAAAATAGTATTTCTTAATTAGAAAATCTCAACATGTACAGCTTGTCAGTAAGGATGATGCACATCTAAGAGTATTAGCCAGTAGCAGCTGAGCTCAGGCTGCTCATGATTAAAAGCAGGGAGGTAGTGTAGTACTTTGAAGAAAAGCAGATACATTAATGATCTTCAAAAACAGAAAGAATGTTCCTGGCATTTACCATCCCTGTATCTAACACCCATCCCTAGCACAGTAATGGAACAAATGTTGCAAGCAAAAACATGTTCATTCTGTGACCAGAGGAGGTAATGAAGCTCATTTCCTGTGAATCTGTCTTGGGGCTGAATCTTACAGTATCTAATATAAAGCATGCCCCAAATTATGCCCCCATTCATGGGTCTGGGGCATTCTTGTGTTGATTTTTTGCTGCCTAATTAGGAGTGGCCTCATGCTACAGCCTTTCCCTTAATGGGAACAGTAGTTGACTCCCCTTTCCAAATATATAGCTTTTTATTTTCATGAAATTTATATGAAACATAGCTTTGAGTTTTCTATCCCATAGTCATTCAGTTTAAATTGGATCAGCAAGTCTGAAAATGATGAGACTCAGCAGCATACGAAAACTCACAGACAGATGCACACACACATGTATTGCATAAAGATCTGTGCAGCTAGTTCCAAATCACTAGTGCTGGAAACTGAAATGTTTATAAGCAATAAACAATGATGAGGATTTAAGTTTACAAAAAAAAGGCAAACCCAACAAAATAGAACCCACCAGTTTTAGAGGAGCAACTACATTTCAGATGACTTTACAAAAAACAGAGAATTAAAAGGCTTGAAAGACCTTTGGAGTCATATAAATTGTTTAGTGGAGATTCTTTTGAACAAATATTAATGCATTCAGTTAGATCATTTCGGATGCAACAATCAGTTGAGTTGAAAATTTATGAAGTGGCAATAAAGAATAGGCTCAAAACCTACTATTAACTGCCATAGTGTTAAACTGCAGTAAGAGAAGCATCTTGGGGTCATCAAGAAATTTAAAGAGCAAATTCATGGTATGCACAGACTGTCCTGAAGCATGGTCTTCCTTAGTCAATTTTTCCAAATGAGACTAAAATATACTACAATAAATTGACTTGGTGCCTTCTCCTTTGTCTCTCTTCTGGTACTTGGGAGCTCTCTGAGGCAAGGATTGGGCCATATTGTTTTATTGGAAAGATACTTAATACATCTGGGCGTTACCATAATTCTAGTAATAGTGACAGGATCAGAAACATGGGGACAAAAATTCAGCTGGTATAAATCAGCACAGACTACTGCTTTCAGAACAGTTGTTCTGCTTTACTTAGACTTTGACTCATCAGTATCACAAGACTCAAATAGGAAAAATGGCAGTTAGCACATTTAGTGAGAAAACAATCTGAGGGAGAAAGCTGCAAAACAAGCATGAACAAGAGACTGAAGGGAAGAGAGACTGCAAATCTGACAGAAGTCCAATATATAATAGTTTAGAAAACAGCTTAATGATGTTTAAGGCCGCATTCAAAGAGGCCCTGTGTCCTCAGGCAGGAATAATGTAGTTCTAGAAATACTAGCAATATTATTCTGAATACTCAACATTCCCAGTGAGATCTAAATAAACTGTAGGGAATTCAGAAGACAGTCTCACACATTAAAAGAAAAAAGTTTTGCTGAACTTCATAAAATGAGGAATATTTCAGAGATTGAGAGGAGAATTATTTAAGTAAGATTAAGTTAGCCCAACATTTTATAGCATAAAATCTACTTAAAATTCTGATTGAAAATGTGATCATAACTGACCACACAACTCACTAACATGATTTATGTCTTGTTTAACATGAGCTTTTTTCATATAAGGAGGATTGATGGGGATCATTCCACTATATGACTGTACTTTTCTTGTTTTAATTTAGCTTTTTTCCCATGTGAAATGTTTGGCATAAAATTCTAAACCCAGTAGATACTAGGCTAAGCAGACAGAACATAGCCACACAGAGAAGGAGGAACCTCCCTAACAGCTAATGGCATCTTTCCAGTACAGGAAACAATTAGAGAATAAACAATGATGGTATATTAACTGCCTTGCCAACTGCAGCAGTGATACTAACATCTAGGTCATAATGTGTCACATGAAGTCTCCTTTAAACATTAAAATAATACTGCTTTAAGCCTGTATTTCTTATCTTTTGGTTTGATTTTTTAATTCTTGTTCCTTGATTTTGTTGATATCAGATTTAAGCTTCTTGTCTCCACTTTCAAACTCTGCCTCTTTCTATTTTTTTCTCTTCTCTCAGGCTCTGTATTGTCTCTGTTCCTGGGCCCTATCACTGCATCCATTTGTTTGTTAGATTCTCATCCAGTCAGTTTGGTGTTTTTCTTTTTGTCCAGGGAATGAAGTACCTATTCTGGCATCAAAGATCTACTTCCACCATACTACACTGCGTGAACTAATTTCCACATACAATGAGAGAAAATTGTTGGTTATTATTCTTCTGCCTCCACCTACACAGTACTTGCTACTCTGCAAATTGTTAAATGCCCGGAGGAGAAATCATCATTAAGTGTCTGGAAAGTGCTCAACCAAGAGTGGGTTCTGCCACAGAGAAGTACGCAGTGAACCTTCATGATAAGATACATCCACTGTGCGGCAGATGGGGGTATTCCTATTACACAAATACTTGACTAGGAAATTCCATGCCTTCCAACGCATCCATCTCATCTCCAATGTACCGAACTGCTTAACGTACAGGCAGAAGCATTTACCTGTGTTATTAATCATGGTGTTTCTGTTACTTGTTCACATGCTATCCATGTACATACGACTCGTCCATTTGTCACAGAGAGAAGGAAAGACTGGCATCTAGTCATGTTGTGTGGTCATGCCATACTCAGAGTGTGCCTTTGATATATCAATAAATACACTTCAGCTACTGACAAATGACTAGCCTGCCTTCCCACTGTAATAAGAACTTGAACAATCAGATGAAACAGGCTTGGAGATATGCAACATGCATTCCCCAAAGTAGAGAGATCATGACACTCTTTCAAGTCACAGGCCTTCTGGTTCTGGGGACGCATTTCTTTATTGAGAAGAGGCTGAGAAACTTGAATGTAGCAGGCAAGACAGCAGAGGATGAAGCAGATCTCAATATGTGGGAAGGAACAGAAGGGAAGGAGCTGGCAATGGGAGATAGGTGGCTTAGGTGACACTGACTAGGAAATGTGGTAAAGCCATGCAGGCTAGGATAAGCTACATCAACTGTCAGGTAAAAGAGAGGACAAATGATGTCCAGCAGGAAAAGATGGGATGGAGGTCAAAGCAGTGTGAGTGGGAAGGAGATGTAGGGCAGGGAGAGTGTAACCAGCAGAAAAGAGAGGGCAGTTCTTGGAAAGGCCAAGTCAAAGGATTGAAGTCTGAGAAGCTAACTAGCAGAAGGAAGAGGTCAGTGACAGGAAAATAGAGAGGGAGCAGAGGATAAACAGATAAAGATGAGGGTAGTACAGTGACTGGGAGGGGCATCAGAGGATCAGTGCAACTGTGACTGGAAGAGGCGGTCTGGCTGGCTCCATACAATGTCTAGTGGGAGAGGAAGTGTCCAAGAGACAATAATTTTATTAAGATGTGGTTTTCACTACAGAAAGTCTGAAAGACCCCATGTTCAGCAAATACTTTTCTTCATTAACGACAACTTCAGTGCAGCCTGAGCCCTGCGGCATGGCAATGGCCTCAGTACTGCAACTCCAAACTGCTTGGCTCAGAAGGAGAAGGGAGGGAGAGAAAGGAGGGGGACGTTGTGGGGGTGAGAGGAGGTTTAACAAAGAATCACTTTAACAGAAACTCCTGAGTAATGGCTCTGCCCCAGGCCAAGAATAACATCAGCTCAATGTCAGCAATTAGAAGAGGGCTCAGCCAGGCCCCATGGCCAGCTCCAGCCTCCTCACAGGCACAAGCCAGCTTACAGCCCTTTCCTGAGCTCATTTGCAGCCACAGCTGCCCACCCAGAGCCCCTTGGATGGAGATGAAAGGAAGACCTCCTGCTCAGAGCGGGAGCAAGACGACTGTAGGTGAGGGAATTTGGGGATGGAAACTGCATGGCTAAGTGAGTGCCTTTAAAGGAGGAATGCAAGGAGCAAAGGCAGAAGGGCTCCCAGAAAAGGACCAGGGCAATTTGCCTATAACCTATTCTCGAGGACCCTGACTAGTGACTCATCTGCTTCAGAGGAGGGAGAGTGGGTGTTTAGACCTCCGCATGCTAGCTCTGTTCAAGGTTTTGTTCAAGTTCAGTCCTGCCAGAATGCCTAGCAAATAGCTCCTTTCTGATGGAGACCAATCTCTTTTGAGTGAAGGTTTATTCACTCAAAGACTTCCTTCTCTTTCGCAAGGAAGCTTTTTGGGCATCACTCAAAAGAGAGAACACACCTCTCTCTCCATGTTAACAAAGAAAGGTAATGAGCATCAGCCATCGTAACCTTGGAAGATTCCCATCACAGAATGAAAATGCTGTTACAGATGTCCACCCTTGGCATCTGGGTGTCATCTAGAATATCAATAATACAAACCCTTTTTCATATTTCATGTAGCTCTTGGACACTAAGCCCATCTTTTCTCCTTGCAATTGTAACAAAGAAGTCATGTATCCGTCAGATAGTTTAATGCAAAGCAGTAAAAAAAGATCTTAAATGTGGTAATAACAAAAAGTGTCAGAGGCCTGGAGAAGATTTTCAGGGTTGCAGAGAAAACATGCATCTGGCATCAGGGTCAGTGGCCATGCCTCCTGCACAATCAAGGCTCTTAAAAGAAATTAATACATTTCTTCAAAAGAATGAAGATTCTCCTAAATAATTTTTGAGTCCCCTTAACATCCTGTTTTTTTGATAACTGCATCATATGAGAAGACATCCAGGAGGAGAAGAATTTAGTCAAGATGAAGCCTTGATGGGGTCTGTCTGCCACAGAGGACACAGTTGCCAACACAATTTCAAGACGCTGTGTTTAGAAACACTGAAATACAACAGTGACCCAGCTTGAAGCACTACCTAAGAACTCAAGTCAAAGCAGGAACCTATCACCAGTGATGAGATTAAGTGACAAAGAACTGTGGAGACTGTAGACAGTTCTAAGGCTGAGGGGCTAAAGGGGATGCACTGAATTGGTGCAGAAAAGCAAGCAGCATGTCAGTAGCCAAATGGAAGAGGATGCCAATGCAGTGGAAGAAGCCACTGGGAACTACAGCATCAAGATGCTATCAAAATCACTGCAGGTAATATTAGTTTTGTTGCAAGCCACTTGAGGAGCTATTTCCTTCACAAAGGCTGTGCCATATGTACTGTCTCTGGGTTCTGCATATCTAAGACTCAGTCAGCACTGCTATATCCCAGGCAAGAATTTTCTTAGTTACCTGGTGCCGGGCTTGGCTTTGCTCCAACAGCTGTCGTGACTGAAGTTTCTGCTGCTGAAGTTGCTGCACAGCAAAATGGAGCTGATAGTTGGGATGTGTTAGCGGCCTCTGCATCACCTTGTTGTACACACTGTTCTCCATCTCTCCTTCCCAGGCAAAACGATGACTCTCTGGAGCCCTGAGAAAAGAAGAGTCATCACGTTTTCACCACTCTGCATATGAGGACTCCTGCTTACAAGGCACTGATGTTTCCTAAAAATCCCTTAATAATTAACCAGCTATGAATTTGTATTAAGTGGCTCCAGAAAGTACAATGCCTGCTAGAGGTGACATGTGCCAACTGCCATTTTGCTAAGGAGTTTCTTGAATTCCAGGTTGGGACTATATTACTAGCCATAACACCATACTTGAGGAGAACAAAGGAAAAGAGAAGAAAAAACTCTAAACTGGAGCATGTCTGTGGCTTATTAGCATTGAAGAGAGACAGAGTTGCAGCAGAAAAAGAGCTAAGGATTCCTATCACTAATGAGATAATTATTTATTTGGATTTGTAGAGATTTTGTTAATACACTAACACAACATTTACACCAAGCACACACATGTTGCAGTGAGAGTGGAATAGAAGACAGACATGCAGTACAATATCCACAGAGAAGAAAAAGGACTGGTAGGGTGAGGTTGCAACTAGGGCACACCTTGACTCCATACAGTTAAAATCCAAAAGATCTGGGGGACTGAAGAAAGGGTCAACTCTTTTATCATCAGAATAATGCAAGCCCTTCCCAGACGGGAAAAGGCTTCCTGCAAAGAGGCAGAAAATCTTACAACCCAGGCTTATACAGTGGGAGTTCAGCTGTGGCCTGCAACATGATAAGTGCCGACAGGAGCTCACCAGCTTGCTTTGAAGTTTGTAAGCCTTGGTGAGAAGGCAACACCAACACGCTCCTAACACAAGGCTGAGGGGCTTTGCAGAGGGCAGGTGTCAGACTGACAGGACCACAAGGTGTCCCGAAGAGGCTACAACGGCCCAGCAACACACATCCTGTGCTCATAAGACAGGATGCCATATGACCCACTGAATCCTGACACTCTGGATAATAAAACCTTCCAGCCTCAGTGCCTGAGCTTCCCGAGTTTATGCTGATTTCTGTCATGTTTCTCTCAGACACTCCTTCCAAACATTTCCTTTGGATTCCCAGGGCATACTTCTCTTGTATTTCCTATGCATGTCATAAGTAACTGGGATGTAAAAGATACTTGGTGTCTTTTACATTTCATGCCACAATTTGGAGTGTAGGTCATGGTTTTGGCAAGGGAGTTAACTGCAATCTCCTTGCTTCAGGAGTCTGTCAAAACTTACAACCTAGATTCTCTGCACTTGTCACAGCTTCACTTGAATATGTTGCACCTTCCCTCACAAGCTTCGTCATCACAGCAGACCTTGAAATGTTCAGAAGGATGTTTCAAACAGGACCTGAAGCAACTGCTAGCCCTATGTACTCTCCTTCAAAAACAACTTAAAGGACTCTAAAGGATCGCTCTCCATACTCAGCTCCTTACCAACAGAGGAGTGAGACAACCCAGTGGAAAAGGAATTCAGCTGTTAGGATCTTCACCCTGAGTCCTCTGGGCCTCCTCCTGCTTGGAATACCACTACCACTTTTACTCTTATGGGCCACTGGATGTAGGTAGCCTTCTCTAGAATTCTCTGTTCAAGGGATGCCATTCATGCTTCCTCAGTCCTTTGCTTCCATTGTACTCCACTGCAATACTGGACAAATGACTCTCACTCCCTGCTCTCTTTTGCTACATGATTCTTAGTCCTTCAGTTATTCTCCTTTCACCAGTGCTTCGAAAAGTGACAACTGTAATGCTGCTGACAGTACTCAGGCCTTGAAACCCAAGTTGTATAGGTTCAAATCTGGCTTTGTGGTTAACCTTGGGAGAGCTGCTTCCCCCTCCTGAACCTGCCTTCCCCCTTCTGCCCCAGTAATGGGGTCATGATCCTCTACTACTGTGGTTTTACCTGCAGTTGCTCAGCTCTGGATGCATGGATGCATGTGCGCTGCTGGTCTCCCAGCACCATCTCCAGGATGCTACAAAAACCATAACTTAAAAGGACACAATAAGAACAAGGAATCTTTGAAACGATTCCCAGCTGTCTCCTCTCCAATCCCACCAGCTCACCACATGGGTTATCAGCAGGTTGCTGTCACCCGGAGCTAACTCCCATCCCAAGGGTAATATCTGCTCCTTCCACTGCATAGATATAGACTCCATCATCCATTCTGATGTTAAAGCTCATTGGACTTTTCCTTTGTGTGAAGCAGCTGGAGTGTCTGTTACCTCCACAGTAAAGTCAGGTCATGCTTACAGCTGAAAAGCACAAAGGACTGTTGGGACTGGGATGCACCCTTTGGGAGATAGCTGGGGGTTACTGCGGACCAGCCCTTGAAACAAACATCAACTGCACCAGGGAGAAAGTTGAAGAGCATTTGGGAATTCCATCGAAGTTATGCTAGTGCTCAGTAACAGCCTGATTAATTCCTTACCAGTGCTACTGAAAGAATATGATCTTCAGTAGCTTTGTTTTGAACCAAACAACTGTATCTGCCTATTTGCCTCGAGTAACTTTTTCACACCAGCAATTACTCAGTTGAGAAAATTTGGTAAGTTCACACAAAATACTCCTAAGAAAAGTAAGCCAACATAGGGTAAAGTGATTACCTCTCATGGATTTCCTAACTAGTCAAAACACACGAAAACAGAGCTAGAATAAATGGACAGTTTCCACAATGGAAGGAGATTACTACTGGGGTCCCACAAGAATCTGTGCTACAGTCTGCTGTTTAGAAGATTTACAAGTGATCTGGGGAAAAAAAGGAGTGAAAGAAAAAAAAAGTTTGCTGCTGAAAAAAGTCACTGAGAAGTGTGAAAAATTACTGACTGATCAGACATGAAATTGGTAGACGACATTCAATTTAATAACTACAAAGTCATGTACACAGGAAAACACAATACTAGTTTTACGCAGTGAAGGATTTCGAACTAGTTATTTCCATTCAGGAAGGAGACCTTATAACTATAGCTATGATAGATTTTTCTATTAAAGTATCAGTAAAATACTCTCAGAAAGCAAACTCAGTGTTAGGAATTATTGGGAAAGGCATAGGAAACAAAACCAAGAACACTACTATCCTACTGTGTAAACCAAAATTGCACCCATCTCTTGCATACTGAGGATAGTTCTAACCCCTGTCTCTCCTCCCTTCTCAACAGCATACAGTAGAACTGGAAATAGTACAAAGAAACGCTGTAAGGATGATCAAAGGTATAGAACAGCTTATATATTGAGGAATGACTAAATAAATAAGGACTCTTCAGCTTGGAAAAAGGACAACTGAAAGGAAATATGAAAAATACCTACAAAATCATGAGCTTCGGGACGAAGGAGAATAGGGAACAATTACTCACCTCTCATGATACAGGACATAGGAAAAACCAAATGAAGTCATCAGGTAGGCAAGTTCAAACAAACAAAAGGAGGTAGTTTTTCTCATAACACATAATTAAACTGTGGATGCCTTCTTACTATGGGAAGCTAAGGACGCCAAAAATTTAAGGGGTTCAAAAATGATTAAACAAACTCACAGAAGCAAGAGCCACTAACACTATATACAAAGATACCACCTCCTGGCCAGACAATCACTGAGTCCCAGAGACTATTGAGAAGTATCACCATTCTGTAATATCACCTCTTCCCACACAATTTTCCATGGGCTACTGACTGAGCAGGACACTGAACCAGATAGTCCGTCTGGTCTGTGAAAGTTCAACCAGTATTATTTATGCATCAGGACTCTGAAACTAAGCCTGCCTCAGGTCTCAGTCAGAAGTTAGAAAATTCACTCTAAGGTATTAATGCAAGTTATATGATTAATTCTAGAAACTAATGTGTGTTCCAACTTCTCTCATATCTACCTCCAGCTCAGAACCTGCAATGCATAAAACTTATCCTTTGATCCAAAAGAATGCTTGGGAAGCTAAAGATTGAGTGATTTGTTCTAAAACATAAAAGTCAAGATGAAATGGAGGAGATAAAACTGATGTAAGTGAAAACTCCACTATAGTTGGACCTGCTGATAGCCAAACTGGCTTTGTGCCACAGAGATGATGTACAGTGACTGCAGTCTGTAATACTGTGAGAGCCACTAACTGAATGGCAAAACTTTAGTATCATTTCCTTGATCCTCGTGTATTTTGATTTGAGATATCTGGCAAATGATTAACTATTATGAAAATACAAATACTGAAGACTGATGGTCCAATTTCTAAACATGCAGTTTTGGAAAGTTCCCATATAACATGTTATCAAGTTGCTGATACTACACCTAAGGTAATGATTGCCCTTGTACAGGAGAACAGGGCTTAAGAACTGACACTCAGCATGCTGCTGCCAGAGATGTGCTCCAGCTCTATTTGCCATGCTCACAGCAATGCATCATGGTGCAGCTTCTATTCTCAGTCTCTGCCTGTCAGATGATTTATTGAAGCATGACAGCACCTTTGCACCCTTCCTGAAGTTAGCTCTTCTGCTTAAGGAATGCTACAACAGACTCAGCACAGTAATGAAGGCTGGGAAAAAGCTGTAGAGGACCTCATATCTTCATAGATACTATAGAGTTCACATGGTAGAGAGACTATATAAATACCCCAAACTGAAGGAAAAGCTTTTTCACAACTTACACTGTTTTAGGCAAAACCAAAAATAACCAGGAAAAAACCCACACCCTCAATGGAAATGAGGATCATAGAGTCAATACTCACAGACCTGCTTGTTTTCAATTCAGGACTATTCCTTGAATACTAATGATTGACTGAATATTCATTTGCTTACATGTACAGACAACAGATATAGGCATAGATGCATACATACACAAATGGGAAATAGCAATTCCTGCCTGTGCCACCAGAAGAGATTGGGCCTCATTCTGTCAGCCAGGCTGGTTGTGAGCAATCTTCTCACAGCTTGCTCAGGATTATTTATGAGTTGCTTAGTTTAGAGACCTGGCCAGGATTCAGGCCTTCACTATGTACAGGAAATCTCAGCCTTGGCATTATGGCCCATCCTTTGTAAGCAAGATTCTGTCCTTCCAGCAGCTCTTAGGGCTACTCAGT